TGATGCTCTCCAATCCATCTGGGAAAAAGTGGCATGAAGTTGGAAATGCTCTGATTTCATCAAGGTATCATTCATAGAAGAAGTGTAGGTCTGGAATGTATATGAACTTATGGAATAGCTTTAAGTTACTTATGGAAACATCTTGACAGGAACAATTAATGCCATGTTTACCCACAATTGTAGCATTTTGTGGAAGACCAGCCAGAAATGTCAGAATTGAATCTCAGTTCTCCTCTCTGCTCAGGCATTTTAACAGAAGTTCCCATCAGATTTCTAATTCTCACCTGGGCTCCTCATTGTCTCCTCACAAGTCTGTGACTCATCAGAAAATAAAAATAAAGTTTCACTGGGACTCTGCACACTGCTATTGCTGTATGATTGACAAGTCAGCTGTTATTATTACTTCCTATCTAACAGTTGTGACTGGAGCTCATGTGGAGTTATTTCCAGATATTATTATTGAGTCTATTATCATATCAACAAAAATTCATTGCAGTAATGGAAATTACAAAAGGAGAAATTACATTAAATATTTGTTGTCAATTTAACACTGGAATACCTTTCTAGAAAAGCACATGCACAGGCAAACACACATATGGAATATAATGGAGGAATATTTGTATATCTATACATATATATATACATATATATATAATTAAGCATTTCTACTCATTCTTTTCCTGAAACCAGAAATATTCTTATCATCTCTGAACACTGGATACAAATGCAAAATAACTGATTCAACTTTCTTCAAGGAATGATGCTCTGCATTTCAACAAGTTCACAGGTTTCCATGGGATGTTTTGAAATCTAAACTTTAGAAGATTTTTACCTCAACGAAGACCTTTTAAGAAGAAAATGTAGCAACACAACTACATCTTTGTCTAATTAACAAAAACTAATTTTTGTTCTTGGATGCCAAACTGCAAATTCATGATTATTTCTCAGTTATAAGATCCAGTTCTTTGAAAGTATAATGGAATAAATCCCCTGTTCAGGTGATATTTGGACATAAATTTGTTACAATAGTTTGACCACATCAGAATGTATATAATCCTAAGTGGTCATTTCCTCTTATGTCTCTGTTCCAGATCAAACAAATCCACACAAAGGAGACAAGACCAGGGACCTGCAACAAAATGAAGAAGCTGAGCCCTGCCTGGATTGGGCACATCAGTGCAATTGTGAATTTGTCTTTGCACTAACATAAATGATTTGTGTTATGAGCCACTAGATTGAGAGGAGTTTGTTACACTTTATTATTGTTGAAATGATGACTGGTTTTATATGAAACATGAACGAATAGAAAGGATTCATTTTTATGAGAATGATTATATAAGTATTTATAAAATAAATATAAAGTGATAGAATACAGAGACAAATATGAGATTATAAAATAAAATAATGCAGTTGCATGTACCAAAGAACCTTCTGAAAAAGAAACAATTAATTTGCAATTGACCCATGAACATCAATAAATATCAGAGGAATTAGAAATAGGCTTACATATATGAACTGATATTCACATGTATACGTTAACAGAAAAAAACATACTTAGACACACATAATATATATAACATATATAATACAGGCTGACCCATTGTAATAATGAGATGTGCAAGACACTATCTTGAAAACAAACTTTACAACTTGGGGGGAAGGGAGGAGCTGGGAGGTGGGGAGGGAAAGGATGGTAGGAGCAAAACAAAGGAAGAGGTAACAATGCTCAAAGGAAATGTACTCATTACCTTATTCAT